TGTGTTCGCATTTACTTGTAAAAATAAAGCAGTAAAACCATCTAATGCAAGTGCTCTTCACCAGACAGTTAACAGTGTCACAGTTTTCAAATGGGAAACTGACAAATGACTAATCGAAATGCACGAAATACACTCAGGCTCTTCCTTTTGTGTTTTGCCCATGTCTCTGCATGTGAACGTCCCGGATTTAAAGTCAACAAATAAAAACATGTTTTCTTTCAGTACGAGGAGAAGGGGTAGGTGTTAAGACTTTACATGTGTAGTTCTAGGATGAATCCATGGACATCCAGTTTGCTACAAAGGCCTAAATTTTTGCTTCTTGTGAGTTTGTCCAATTGGGATCCCTTGTGAAAGTATACTTTTCAAAAGTATATTGAGTATTAAAAGCATATACATTTACTGTTTGCGCTTTAAACATACTTTAATACATACTACACTGTAAAATGATTTGATGTTTCAACGTAAAAAAGGAAGTAACCTGATTGCCTTGAATTTTTGAGTTCACTGAACTTACTGATAGTAAGTTATGGTCAGTTAAATTTAATATTTAAAACTTCAAATTGCATTTAAATTATATTTCAATATTACAAAATACACAAATACATTAACAAAAATGTGTTTAAGCATACTTTATATAACATAGTTAGGTATATGCTTAAATATATTTTTAAGAACAACAGGCACAACCTAAAAATTACTTAAATTACTTAAGTAACATTGAAATGCATGTTCTATGCCTACAAGTGTTATTTTGGTCTGTGTAAAGAACTGGAGAACGGACTGCCGGCTGTGCAGCGAGTGAGCAGAGCTCATTACTCTGACGTCGCAACGAGCTGCTTGTTAAGGAACTATAATTTGGCAGAAGAAATTGCTAACATTAAAACATATTAAACACCACGTTCACGGCACAATGTATTTATTTCTTACTTGATTTATTTAACTGTTGTATAAAAGCAATAACACGAGAGAGAGTGTGTTATCGCGAATAACATCACATTCTATTGCTTAAGTATGTTAAGGAATACATTTATTCATCAAGACATTAAAGTACATCCCCATTTCCAAAAAAGTTGGGACGCTGTGCAAAATGTAAATAAAAACAAAATGCAATGACGTGCAAATCATTAAAATCTTATAGTACAAAGACAACATATCAGAAAGTTTATTGTTTTTTGAAAAATATTGGCTCATTCTGAATTTGATGCCCAAAAAAATCTCTGTATGCAAAGGACAAGACTGAAATCCAATAATGGCTGGTCATGATCTTCAGGTCCTCAGACAGCACTGCATTAAAAACAGACATGATTCTGTAGTGGAAATCACTGTATGGGGTCAGAAACACTTCTGAAAACCACTGTCTGTGAAAACAGTTCATCACTGCATCCACAAATGCAAGTTAAAACTCTAAAACGCAAAGAAGAAACCATATATAAACAGGATCCAGAAATGCTTTCACCTTCTCTGGGCCTGAGCTCATTTAAAATGGACTGCGGGGAAGTGGAGAAGTGTCCTGTGGTCTGACAAATCAATATTTGAAATTATTTCTTGTTATTTTTAATGCTGAACGACATATACATGTCTTGGCAACATATGCTGCCATACAGACAACGTCTTTTTCAGGGAAGGCCTTGCTTATTTCAGCAAGACAATGTCAAACCACATTCTGCATGTATTAAAACAGCATGGCTCCGTATTAAAAGAGTCTGAGTGCTAAACTGACCTTCCTGCAGTCCAGACCTGTCACCACAGAAAAGGTCTAGCGCATTATGAAATACAACAAAGGAGACCCCGAAATATTGAGCAGCTGAAATTCTATGTTAAGCAAGAACTGGAAAACATTTCACTTTCAAAATTACAGCAATTTGTCTCCTCCGTTCCCAAACACTTACAGAGTGTTGTTAAAAGAAGAGGTGATGAAACACAGTGGTAAACATGCCTGTGTTGTTGGCATCAAATTCAATTTTTCTGTTGTTTTTCTACTATTTCCAATGAAATATATGGTTTAAATGATTTGCACATCATTGCAGTTTGTTTTTTATTTACATTTTGCACAGCATCCCAACATTTTTTGGAAATGGGGTCCTATATTTCAGGTGTATTTACATAAAATATATGAACTATGAATCTCTGCATATTTCAAGTATACTATTGATATATGTAAGCATGCTCCTTTTTCACAATGGACAACTCTAGTCTATGGACAACTACATCAATTTAGCATTTATCTATAAAAATTTTAAAATGAATGATGCACTGTATCTGGGCCTGAGAGGGAAATTAGTCTCACTTGCCAGAGCAAAGAGTCAATTGTATCATTTAAAACAATCTAACCACTGATCACAGAGCTTGAAGAAGTGAGACATCAGGACAGAGTTTTTTTGTGTTATATCCCTTGTCTTTCAATGTATCTGTCCATTTACTATCTTACATTTAAATGCCTAACCCTGCATTCACACTGGCAGCAACTTTTCACCGCACTCTATCACCTGTGGGCGTTTCTCAATTCGAGCTGACCTTTAGTTGTCATGGTTTCACTGACGTCAGGCAAATGCCATCACAGGACACCATACTTGACTGGCTAGTGGCTACATAGTAAACAGGGATGGGGGAGTAGCTGATAGCTGTAGCTGCTACGGTTTTATGAAATGTAGCTAACAGCTGTAGCGCCTAAAATTTTTGTGTAGCTATAGCGATAATTTTCGCTACAGGCTTCAGGCAATTCACGCAAAATCTGAACTACAGAATGCGGTCGTTAACTGGGCAGGAGGCAACTGTGCAATCCTGACCGAGCCGCGGACAGTTCGAGCAAACGGTCACGCGCTGGTCACCCCTTGCTAGTAGGCTTAGCTCAGGGGTCGGCAACCGAAATGTTACAAAGAGCCATTTTGTCCTTTCAACAAAAATGAAGCCACCTGGGAGCAGCAACATTTATGTCCGTTTTACCATCTTGGCTGTAAATATGTCTCAGTATGTGCCACTATAGGCTAAAAATGTATCATAAACAAAAACGCAAACTTGCTTTGCTCTGCTTTAACATTTAGCTCAGCTGTAGCCGCTTTTCTCGCATCTCGCTTTTCCTCGAGGTTCTTGTAAAATGTCTCTCAGAGTTCGACTGTTTACGAGGCTGAAGTCGCTTCTCATTCTCCTGCGTTCGAATTGTCCCGTTCCACCTTAAATGGTGCCCGAGGCGCAAGATTGTACTGCTGCATCATTTAAGGTGGAGCGGGACAATTAGAACGAGAAGCAGGAGAATGAGAAGAAGACTATAGCTTCGCGAGTTGTTGCAGATTAAACGTATCAGGAAACCACCTGAGTGATTATAAATACAAATAAGTCCATTCATCTCCAAATTATCGATGTCTGTCTTAAATCTTTCTCTTTGCGTTTTCGTTATCTGCAGCAGTGGAGAGATTATTCAGGCATGATTCTCACGCCAAACAGAGCCAGGGATACTGATGAGAATTTTGAGGCTAAAGTGTTGCTGAAGTTTACAAAGGACTCTGAATGTTATGTCTGAATTCTTTTAATTGGAGCAGTTATATTTCAACAGTTGACAGTGCTTTGCACAAAATTGTTTGGTTTGTATTCAGTTATTTTTGTTGATTTTTGTTAGGAAAACGTGGAATGATTGATTTTGCCTTTACTTAGTCTAATTTTTTGTTGGATATGTTGGATATATTGGTTGTGTAAGTTTGATTGTCACTTAAACTTATTTTTTGGTGATCTTTTTCTATATTAGCTTTTCAATTGTATGTTTCTTTCTGGCACATGATTAAACGCAGTGTCTTGTTTACACTTTCAGTTGGGCTTGTTTGGTGTGTCAGGTGGAGATTCACAAACATTCTCACAATCGCGCTTTGAAAGTAGCTAAAAAGTAGTGCACTACTTTTAAAAAAGTAGCTAAAAAGTAGCCACTACTTTTTCTGCAAAAGTAGCTAAATTGTAGCTAGCTACAAATTTTGGGAAAGTAGCTACAAAGTAGCTAAGTACTAATTTTTCAGTAGCTATCCCAACCCTGATAGTAAATACAAAATCAATTTGGCCACAAATCAGATACCTTCCCTCCCACTTAATACCATAAATCAGATATGTTCCCACTGAAAAGAAAAATCCTGGAGGGAAACAGCTTGTTTATAAATGTAATCCCTGCATAGTGCATCACTGTATGTGTAGTCAGTGTCAGAGGTGGGTAATAACTAGATACATTTACTCAAGAGCATGTACTTGAGAAAAATATTGATGGCTTTGTACTCCCTTGAGTATTTTTAAATCATAAAACTTTTACTTCTACTCACATATATTAGTGAGTAAAGAACGTTTTAGTCAGTTACATTTTAGCTGTTCATATTTAGTTATTGATTTCTTTCTTGTGTTTAATTTCATAATGTTTTGTTGGTCATAACATCTCTACTGCTTTAAGATTGGTCATATCTCAGATTTTGGACAGAGGGTAACACAAACTTCAGGTCTTTGAGATCACTGCCACTGGTCTACTGGTCTAAGCTGGTTTATGCTGGTCCAGAGCTGGTCCAGTGCTGCTTTAGCCGGTCACACAGCATTGTCCTGCTAGCTGACCAGCATCCAAAACACAACTTTTCCGCGTTTTGATGGTGATCAGCATAGCAGCTTCCATTGCTGCTGACCAGCATCCCAGCATCCAAAACACACCATATGATGTTTTTGGTGATGACCAGCTATGATGCTATTTTTTTCTAGCAGGGTACAGTGACAGCACCGTCACTGTTCCTCTCTAGTAGGAACAGATATCTAGAAACCAAAAAAGCATGGTGGTGGAGATAAAGCATGTACCACCCTGCTCCATTCCCACTGGTAATCACCACATTGCTTCAGTCCTAATCTGCGTAAACTTTGCTCAAACTTTGTCGTGCCAATGACACTGTCCATTTTGAGTCACCAACATTCACACTGCCTCCTGTTGCCAGAAAATGAGTGACGTCGGGCCATGCTGTGTTGTGGACATTGCAAACTCGGGTTCCTATCACCCTCATGGCTTTATCTTGAAGAGTGCACCATTTTGAGGCAACAAATGGGGAAAACGTAAGACTGCACATGACTGATTCTTCTTAAGTCAGTCTGCCAGTTTTCTTAATACAGAAGATCGTCTCCTGTGATGGTAGGTTCCTCTGGTTTTTTGGTCTGTATTTTGGGCAGATGAATTCTGCTTGAAGCCACCACCAAAATGTTGGCTCCATGTGTTACTGCGCTGGCAACACACAGCCAGAATGAGAATCCTAGGTTCTCTTCTAGAACCACAAGGTGGAACAGGTTCTCGCGAAAGTTTGCAACACGTTCCGTCAAACGATGGCACCGAACTGCTGCGATGAAACAGGCAAACCCAAGTGAACTGAAGAGAGCTGAGAGAGAGAGAGACTTATCAATACTTGTCCAAACTGTGAACAATAACAAAACCAGCTTTGTCAGTTTTTTGCCCCTTGCCTCTAGAAAAAAAACACACTGCCCCAGACATGTCAGCTGTACATTTGTGAGTGACTGGTGTAAAAATTATGTTGTGGAAATATTCAACCCAATTTGCCACATTCTGCCTGATTTTTGGTATACATATATTTGCAATATCTAATATTTTGTTCAATCTCAATGAGGCAAAGTTTTCTCCTCAGAAAACGTATTTTTTCAGATTGGCCATTGTTTTATCATTATCAACACTACATATTACAAAACTTAAAGGGTAGGTGTAGGTGTAGGTTCACTGCTAGTTTTGGACAGTACATAAAATGGCTATATTTGTGTTGTAGACACTGTAAGCCCTGGTTCCTATCACCAGCACTGTCGGCATGTTTCTCCACAATGAAACATTTCACATCAAAGTACTCTGAATGACTTTGATTACCAATCTCAACCAATTAGTTGTGCAGAAATGTTGAAAAATTCTTTGAAAAATAATCACTTTGTGTACTGCATTGTGTACTATACTGTGCACTGTATTGTTCTATGTCACACTGACCTACCTGCTATAAAGTTCCAGAGGTAGAGACCTAGAGGTCCTTTGATGGACTGGTAGGGCACCTTTCTGGCATTGTAAATGCAGAATGCCAGACTCAACAGTGCAAAGCCAATAGCGATGAAATGGAAAAAGATTATGATCATATGAAGACCACCATTGACCTTCCTTATCAGTCTTGGGAAAACTGGTGAGAGAGGAGAATGTACAACAGATATTAGTTCAATATTTTTCTTGGTAGCTTTGTATGAAAAATGTATATTGAAAAGAATCAGCAGCTGAACTGGAGTAAAACTGCACTACTTGAGAAAGACCTATTACTAAAATGGAAATTCACTGATTTGTCAATTTTTCCCCCATAATTTAATAGTTAAGATGTAAGCAAAGTCATTCAAAGTGGTTTTATGTGAAATGTTATATTATAAAGCAGATTTTCTTTACAGTAGCGGTGATCAGCAGTCATGATGTCTACATTACAAATGTAGCCATTTTATTTACTATCCAAAATGGCCAGTGAACCTACATGTGTTTTCTCAGTGTTTATACGCAATGTTGATAATGGTAAAAGAGTGGTACATCTAAAAAAATAAGTCTTCTATTCTGTCTTTCAACTCCTGCTGTATGTGCCTGTTTACACTACAATCTTATAGTAAAATATCGTAAAACAATGTTTCAGGCATCAGGCAGTAAAATTCATAACTATTTCATGTGATAAGGAGCTTATAGAGGCATTAAAGTAGGGCTGCCAAAAGTGTGGCCCATGGGCTGAAGATGGACATTTGATTGGGACTGCTAGAAAGTTAACCCCACCCCTTCTCCTGGTTTTACTTCCTCGTAGGAATTTGCTTTATGTTTGCCATAAGAGACCACTAGTTGTACAACAATTTTAGATCCTATTAGAAAACCATTAAAGGCATCTACAGTCAGTCACAATTCATCTAACCCAGACAGCAGGGTGACACTGATCCGTTATTGATTTCCCATCAGAATCATCATCAAAGTGTCAATGAAAGTCAGCAGCTCCAAACACTGGCCACAATGAAGCTGAATATGCATTAATTTATAGCTGACCATGAGATGAATGTCATCATCTCATGGCATTGGCAGTAACGGCGTTAAACGACATTTATTTATAATAGACTGCAAGATCATATGACGGACATGTCCATGTGAACTCGTGAGTTCCGCACCCCAACTCCTCTTCACAGCTCACTGCTGGCTCTATAAGAGGAAAGACATTTTAGTTAAAATATTTTTTATGTTAAATTTATATATATTTTTTAATTTTATGTTTTTTAATTCACTTAATAATCCTATCATCGGATATCAGCAGTTGTCTGATTATATAAGTGTTCATGCAAAACAGCATATTCCGATTTCCGATTTCTTAGATCAGATTAAGGCCTAGAAATCTGAGTAAGAAATCCAATAAAGAGAGCTGGATTTGAGCTCAGTAATAAGGTTTTCAGTGCATGTATACACTCTGATTTCTTTCATTTTTCTCAGTCTGCGCATGTGCAAAAACAGACAGCTGTGCAAAAACAGCGAGCAGTGTTTAACACAGCATTTCTGATTATTGCCTGACCCATGCAGACCTGGAGTTTTACCATTATCTGATTACCCATGTAAACACATTGAGTGAATTAATCAGATTTTCTGCATTTTTCAGATTATCAAATGCATAAAACGGAATGTTTTTAAGTGTTTCCTGATTTAATTGTTATGTTATGGTGGTAAAATCCGCGGATATAGAGAGCTAAAGAAAATGAACTAATTAACTGTCATTTATTGAACTGAGAAATGTGACTGTCAACTTTTGAAATAATGCAGAGAGAAAACATACATTTTCTTGCTTCCTGTACAGCAACTGGTTAAAAACACAACTTAATTTCATTCTATTATTTGTTTAGAGAACTGAAGGAAAAATGAGATCTCCTGAAGTAGACAGTCACCTGGTGTTTGTAGATTACAATTTGAGCATGTGACTTTGAGTAATCTGAGTGATTTTGCACTATTGTAAAGTAATTTTAAAGCCTGTTCTTGTCATCTCAGTGTTCAATTAATCTGAATAAAGAAACTAATGGAGAGTTGTGTTGTCTGTTTTAGGTCTGTTGACTTTCTATGGTCCTTGCTGTAGATAAAACAGGATGACATTGATCATTTAAAGGTTGTAGGTTGTGTCAGTGATGTTTTAATATCAATTCAGTAATTAATCACACCTAAAAAGATAGTTCTTAGAGGTTGTATTTAGAGCCATGAGTTCTTTATATAACTATGTCATGCTTAAATGGTTCTTCGCAAGGTAAAAGAGTTCTTCAGATTGATTGAGAATGTGTTATAGTTCTATATAGAACCTTTTTTTTAAAAAAAAAAAAACATTTTAAGAATCCTGTACCCTGTGATATCAACCTATCAGCAACACACAGAATACAATTATTGTGCACCACCAGGAACCAACAGACACTTTTAAAGGTTCTATGCTTTTTTTCAGCAGAGCCAACATTCTCCATCACTCTGAAGAACATTCCACTATGCAAAGAAACATTTAAGCATGAAATGATTCTATATAGAACTCATGGTTCAAAATAGAAGCATTGTCTTTACTAAAGAACTACTGAAGAACTATCTTTTTAAGTGTGTAATGAAGAATCAACGTTAGATTAGAACATTAATTTAATGTTTATTTAACATTGATTCGATAATCCTTTACACTGTAATGATAATTTTAAAACTCCCAAGAGACAACACAAACATTTAATAGATTCAATGTTTTTTCAACAGGAAACTGAAGTAAAGGGGAATTCCACCAATTTTTCAAAATTTCGGAATAATTCAGTTTTCAGGTTTGACATGAAAAGGTTCAACTAGGGAAACTTACAGACTCTGATTTCATTTCAGTGGTGATGATAGGAACCAGGGGTCACAATGTCTACAACACATATAGCCATTTTAACCACCAGGCAACCTTCATGTCCCTTCTGAGCTTTTATATGTAATGTTGATGATGGTAAAATAGTGATAAATCTGAAAAAAGAAGTTTTCTTTGGGGACTGTTCTGACACACAACACGCTGCATCATGAATCCTCTGTCATGAATGAAACACAAACCTATCACAAGACAGTGTCTCAGACATCAGGCAGCTTATATCTAACCATTTTACATAATAACTTTCTGTGAGGGAGTGTTTAGAGGTGGACGTCTGGGTCCTATCATGACCACTGTGAACAATTCTGTAAGTTTCTCTAGAATGGAGCATTTTACATCAAACCACTCTGAATCACTTTGTTTACTTCTCAACCATTTCATTATGTAGAATTTTTGAAAAATCGGTGAGGGTCCCCTTTAAGGAAAAAAGGCCTTTTCAATAGGAACTCCACTGCTTTTATTTTTATTTATTTATGTATAATTAAACGGTTAATTTGTAAACAGAGTCATTCAGAGTGGTTTGGGGTGAAATGCTACATTCTAGAGAAACTTACAGAGTCAGAATTGTTCACAGTTTTGATGTTGGCAACCAGACATCCACCTCTAAAAGCTCCTTCACAGAAAGTTATTACATGAAAAGGCTATGACGAATATGCAGCCTGATGTCTGAGACATTGTCTTATGGTAGTTGTGTGATAATGTTTTGGCCTAAACATATTTTAAACAGTTTATTTTAATCTATTCATGGTGGAAGGATACATGCAGGGCATTATAAGGGCAAATTAGTCCCCATAGAAAAATATTATTCTGTTTCAGATTTTCCACTGTTTTCTCATCAGCAATATTACATAGAAATAAACAGAAGACTCGTGTAGGTTCACTGGTGGATTTGGATAATAAGCAAAATGGCTATATTTCTGTTGTGGACACGGTGACTCCTGGTTCCTATCACCACCACTGTAAAGAAATCAGCCAGCAAGTTTCTCTACAAGGAACCACTTCGCATTAAACCCCTCTAAATAACGTTCTTTACATTCAAGGAGTTAATTATCAGTTAAGAATTAATTTTCGGAAGTTGTGAAAATTTGGTGGAATTCGCCTTTAAGTAGAAAGTAGCGTGAACGCTTTAGGTAAAGCTCACTGTATATTTTATAACGGCGGCTCCCGAGACCGCATTTCCGGGTCTTCCCGCCCTGAAAGAGCCCGTAGTAAACATCTCCGGTGAACTGCGAGAGCTCCGGGCTGGACGCGTTGACGAGGTCTACTCCCGGTCTGACACAGGATCGTCCCGGTTATCCAGCGCTCGGTGGAGAGCGCCACGACCAGCAGCGCCACCGAGCCGAGGCTGAGGACGGAGCCCACAGAGAAAACGATCCGCTTCCACACAGTCGGCATGTCACCATTCCCATTCCGCCCGGACAGGCTCCCACCGCTAACGGCTAAAAAAACTGACTATATCTCACTGGAATGGCTCTAGTGATCCACAGGTACTGTCGGAGAGCCTATCTCCGCGGTTAAACGCACCGTAAGGAAGATAAACACGACAGTGAAGGAGAGCTCTGAGGTAAAGACCAAGAAACCCAAGCTAAGGCGGTCAAACAGATCTCCGTTACCGCGAAAAGTAACCTAATACCGGGCTTCGGCTCCACGCCAGAGCTTTAAATGATCTCTCTCTCTCTCTCTCTCTCTCTCTCTCTCTCCCTCTCTCCCTTTCTCTCTCTCTCTCTCTCTCTCTCCCTTTCTCTCTCTCTGTCTCTGTCTCTCTCTCTCTCTCTCTCTCTCTCTCTCTCTCTCTCTCATACAGAAAGCCATTAAAGCCCACAACATTTGATGTATAGGACACACACACACATCATCCAAACCGCTCATCCTTCTGGGTCGCAGCGGGACGCCGGAGCCCACCCCAGCTGCCACCGGGCGGAAGGCATGTATAAGACACATATTTTTAAAAACCTTTTCAACCGTTCCTTTTGTTTCATAATCCTTTTATCTTAATCCAGTATTATTTTTTCATTTGTTTTTATTAGATACTTATTAACCTCTGTAATATTGTAATTCGTAATTCTTAGTATCAATTTAAAAATGTATTAAATGTTTAGTAACTAAACTAACATTCTATTTTCTATATTTTTTATATTATTTGACATTTTTTTTCAGTTAACGTGTTTTCTTTGTAACCTTTACCTGGTTATATGTTTGGGTTCTTTTCCCTCTGATTTCCTGGGCCTTTGTGTGTCAGTATGTAAAGTACTTTAACAACACTTCTTGTATACACTTCAGTAACTTCCTGTAGGAAAGGTGCTATATAAATAAGGATTTGATCGATTAACTGATTGACACACATCCATGTGCAAAAGTTTAGACGCCCTGTCAAATGACGTTTGATTGATTTTCTAAGTGAAAGAAACACGTCCTCTACAGAGAACACACCTCTACACAATTACTGTTTATTTGCTGAGTTAAACATACTGGGAAAAACTAGAACTTAGCCTGTGCAAAGGTTTCAGTTCATTTTTAATCTTATGTTTTATTGTTCTCTCAACATGCTAAACTCATCAAATGAACAAGGATGTAGAGAAATGTTTTCTCTGTAGAGGACAGCTTAACGTGTAACTTATTTTCACTTGGAAATTCAACCAACTTTTGCATATGAATGTATGTAAATGCATCACAATTGCAAACGTTTTAATAATTGACATTTTATTTGTGCACAAACTAAGGTTCACAGGTACAATTGCCTGTAGACATACATGTTCATAGCACATATCAATAGACATGTTAGAATAAAGGAAAAAAAAGAAAATAAAAGGGGGAAAAAGGGCAAGTTGTAACCTGGGGCAACAAAAAATTAACAGAGGGAGTCTGAGAAGCTGACCACAAAAGCAAAATACATTTCTTGACCAAAGACTAATATAAATATACAAACTAATATAAAAAACAAATGCTTTGTTTTATAATCAGGTACAGATTCGATGTCAAGCGTTTAAAAGAAACAAGTTCAAGTCCAAGGATACAAGAGGGAGGATTTTCTCAAGTTCATGGTGTATCCCCTTCCAGTAAAAATTGTATCGTCACATAACCAAGCAATTGCAAACCTCTTAATCAACAACACCAATACATGAGGGTAGGTTTTCTTATTAGCTATCCTATAAGCTGGAAGCAGTAACTATTCATCAAGTCAGCTGAAAAGCCCGAAGCGCGTCCTCCAACACTTTTAAATGTCAATATTCAATCCTCATTGACTCCGTCAGGTCACTGCTTAATGAAATGAACAGAGTGGGTAAAGGTCAAGCAGGACAGATGTACTATGCATTAAGACAAGAACTACAAAACAATTCACTGTAATGTGTTGGAGATTGGCCCGCCTGCAAAACGGCCATGTGCTTCCGCAGTCTCTCTCTGCGTTGGCTTGTGCTTGATTACAGAGTGCTTGCCTTGGCTTTCAAACAAGAACCGTGCCATGGAGCTAAAATAACAAAGAGAAACTATCAGTATGTTTTCGTTGGACCTCATAATTCAGAAGATCCAACAAGGTTCAGAGGAAAACCATACACAGGACAAAATGTGTATGAACCACACTACTGAATTTGTATCACTTTGTATCAACTTTGTATCAATTTGTATCAACGCAATTAAATATTCAGACCATAGATATTTACAAGGATTATGTTACAATCTATTTAAATCCAGGGCATTAATTGAGATAGTAAAAATCATCATTTATAGTGTACTTGTAGGTACTGTCTAATTCCCTAATCATAATGATAATAATAAAATAATACCTAACATTTTTTTGCATTTTCAATGTTGTTTTTAAAAACATCATTTTGATTTCTTTTAAAAGGAGTGAGTTTTCGAAAATTTGATGTATCAAAATTTAATTTCAAATAATTTTATTCAAAAAATGCTGTCCCATGTTTTTATGTCACCACTGAAACAGAGTTGTAGTCTGTAGGCGGGTATTTTAGCCACGCCCCTGCATTTTAGATCAGGAAGTGTAGATCATGTATTCCTGTCCCTCATGACCACATGGTGCGCAGTTAGATTTAATTTTTTTAAGTAAATGTGTCCCAGATCTGAAAATCAGTGTGGAACTTTAAGAGTGGTCAGTACTGAAACACATAATTTTTGCAATTAAATAAACTGGCTTGTGTTTTAATGAAAAATATGATTTTATGTGAGTACAACTATTCAAAGCTGTGTTTGCTCATCATGTACTGGCCAGCGTTTTTGAGTCATGTTCAAAATTAGCTAAAATTGTCACTAACGAACATTAGGTAAAAGTTTTGGTACTGTTATGATTTTATTGTTAGTGACAAAATTAAATGTTCAGTCATTTATCATAATTAATGACAGGGTCATTCAAATCTAAAGTATTTTAGTTTAAAAGCCAAATGTGTTTTTTTAACCCTGACATTGAAGCAGTTCTATAGAATGATCCATAGCAAGAGATCAAAACTGGATCAGGCTTAATAGAGCTGATACTGATCAATTCATAAATGCCGGGATGAACTCTGATACAGATGTGGACAATATTTTGTCTTTGAGGAGTGGTAAACTTCGAATTAAAATATTATTTTCCACTGTCAGGTTTTCTGAGCACAACACTTGGTCTCTTGGGCCCCGCCCCCCAGCCTACTCCCAGGGGTTAGGCCACAAAAACATTCCTCTTTTCTCCATCTTGTGTGACTTATTTCTAAAAATATATGAGAACATCTTTTTCACTTTAAATTTTTTTATACACTGTAGTGATGGTGAACTTTCAATTAGTATATTTAATCTTGTAGAACACCGTAAGACATTCAGTGCACTTATTTTATAAAATGACTCTAATATCGATAGTGTCTTCAGTTCACTTCAATTCCAATTTTGTCGCGCAGCTTCATGATTTTTCTGCACTAACACACCTGATTCAGATCAAGAAAGACTTGATTAGCTAATGATAGCACTCACACTCAGAGAAAAAGAAAACTGTGCAGTGAAGGTGGGATTCCAGGACTGGAGCTGCAAATGGCCTGCATACCAATTCTGGTGAAGTAACAATTTTGAACACAAGAGGGAGACATCTTATCACATACAAGGGAATGGAATGAAGAAGGCTGTTTGCCGTAAGTATCCCATTTGCATCGTGAAAGTAAGTTGGGGAAATCATAATCTGAATTATGTTGGCCTGCAGTCCTTGAAAGTTTAACATATTGTATCATCACTGTCAGAACTAAACTTAATATCTGCAAACCTTTACAGGAGAAGGGAAAACATTCTTAACTTGTAATGGAAGTTAATGTAACAATTTTTTCCCAAGTAATTTTGGACCATTTCTGTTGTCATGAATTCAGAAGATAACTGGACTTTTTTAAATTATGCAGAATGCCAAAAATGGAGATGCTGGAGATGCAGATTTTTGCACAACAGCAATGATACATCTTTTCACTTGTCCATGCTCAATAACACCAGTGCTTTCATGTCATTCAGTATTTCTTCTCTTACGTACTATACTGCGCTAAAGTCTTAGAAAACTGTATGTAAAGCTATTATTCAGGGCAGTCAGTGTTTGTTTATTTAGAATAAATGAGCAAACAATACATTATAATTTGATGTCTGTCAGTTTGTTAACCTTAAGAGAGCTCATTATTATATACAGTCATATTACATGGTCACTACAAACTGAAACAGGATGACTGGGTCATTGAAAACTCAGGGTATGCACACAGAGCTAGGCCAAAAAGAGTCTCTGAAGCAGGTAGCCTAACAGCTAAGCCTTACATAAGTATCATCTGTTTATACTACAAAGCATTTGCATATGCAATTCTTATTAATCATTTTTGTGTTCTAATAATGACATGTAAAAGCATTAGATATCATGAGGATATGGTAAAAATGGTACTTTGTTTACCTTGCAACTTTTATGTGGTGCTAGTAGACATGGCATATGATTAGGAATAGGTATTGTTATCAGTTATACAGGGGGAAAAAAAAGAGGGCTCAGCTTAAAAACCCGCACCAGCAACAAACAAAACCCCTGTCAGCTAAAAAGACAACTCTGTCTGTCCACCATTGATATATCTATAGAAAACAAAGTTGACGTGCCAAAAACTCCATATGGGTTGAGAAACAAAGTATACAAGAAATCGGCATTTAAGTACAAGATTGGAGATTTTATGTGAATTGCGTAAATTGTATGAAAGTGAGGGGTCCGTTTATAATGAGAATTTTTCTCCATAACAGACTGTGTCCATCAACAGACGTCTTGTTTATAAATGGAAGGATTGAAAAGACCGCGACCATAGCTGGACTAAGCGGTTAACGACGATGATGATGATGAATTTGAAAAGATTTTATATAAAAAGGAAAGTGAGGGAAAAAACAATGGTTTTAGTAAATGGTTAGGGTAGCCTTCCAAATTTAACAGCTGACAATCAAATTTCCTGATAATCAAATTTCT